AAGATCAATTTGCAAGGATTAGGTTCATGATACTGATAAAATATACTCCCATTGAGATATAATTATAAATATAATATAAAGAAAAAGATAGAAATATATATAGGGATGCACAAATATTTAAAAAAAAAAAACACATCCCTTCCCACATGCTGCTCTGCTTCTGGTTGAATTTTGAAAAAACCGAATTAAAAAAAAGAACAATAATTAGATAAAGATAAAAGATTAAATAAGAATAATAAAATAATCAAGATAAACAAATATTAGGTAAAAGATAATTAACAGGAATCAAATAATTTCAACGAAATTGGAATACAATTATCCAATTATCGAATGGGAAGGAATTTTCTACAACGAGCTAAGAATCGTGAACGAATGCAAAAAAAAGAAAAAGAAAAATAAAAATAAAAAACCATCTAACAAGATATTAATAAGAAAAAGAAAATATCAGACAATGGTTCGGAAAGACGTAATCCTTTCCCACGTTTTCGATAGTTGCCATTTATTTATTATCTCTCGTTAAAATTTCTTTAATTTTTTTTCAACTTCTTTACTTTCTCCCCTCATTCATTCATTCTTTTCCACTGTTAAAATCTTTCAACCGATAAATCAGATTTAACGAAGATCCTTTAGCAAAAGGTAGAAAAGGAAGAAGGACTTACTTGGTACATTGTAGAAGTTACCGGATGGGGTGCGTACGAGACAGGATGGTTCAAGATCAGGATCGCGTTCGTGATCGCTTGCTGCGTGACTTCCTGGCAGTCTTCCGTTAAGACGGCTCATTGTAGGATTACGGGGTGGCACATCGGGCGGGCCCCGTGGTGCCGAATTGTCCAATAAACACCCTGCAACAAACAATCAACAAAATTTTTTCCTTTAGATTTTATCTTGGAGATTAAAAAAAAAAAAACAAATTGAAAAAAAAAAAGGGATAGATTGTTAATTTCAATCCTCCCTTCAATATCATCCCCATAAAACTTTTACTTTTTTTTTAACTTATATCAAGGATAATATTTTTTCAAATCTCTCCCTCTCACTGTATCTGTTATTATTATTATTATTATTTTATTAGTGTTGTATATATATATATAATATTTATTATTATTATATTTTTGTATTATTATATGATCATTGTTATGATTATTTTTATTATTATTGTTATTGTAGTAACCAGTTTTATAAGTTCCCCTTCTTATCGTAAAATTCCCCCTTTCTTATCTTTGACTATACTTTCTTGCATCCTCTGCAGACCCTTTTTATTTGAACCCTCACCAATTTCTTAAAACAAATCCGACCATTTCCTTAGTTTTTCTCCCCTTTTTTAAAACAAAATCCCGTGATAAATATCGGTCGACCTTTGACACAGTTGCTCTATCATTTTAAATCTTTACTCTTTCATTTGGAAACATTTTCTCTTTGATTTTTTTTATTTTTACAAAAGTTAATTAAATAACAAATATAAATATACGAATCTTTTATAATTGTGTATAATGTTTTTGAATTATTCATTCCATTCGAAAATCAATGTATATATTTACAAAGAGGTATTAGGGTGGAAAAATGATCAAATTGACGGTATACTAATCCAAAAGATTTATTATTAAATTTAAACAATATCTTTCCAATTGATTACCTTATAGAATCGTAGACCATAAATTACAAATATTAAAATGTACAAAATTCTACAAATATTTTATTCCATTTTAAAACAAAGATCAAGGTTTACTTTAACGATACATTAAACGTAATAATTAATAAAGAATATTTTCAATAGAATATACTTAAACCTTTAACAAAATATCAAAACAAATACAATAAATAAAGTTAAAAGGATTCTTGAATTATTTATTGTACTCTAAGAAACTAACTCAAATTGGGTCCCTGATATATCTTAAACCCAACATGGAAGGGTGGAATAGAAACAAATTCACACACACACACATACAAAGAGTTAAGCAAAAAAGATGAAAAAAACGAGGTCGCTTGGAAATATCAATCCAATTCCTTTGCTACATTCTATTGCAATCCTTTTAGAAAAAAAAAAAAAACGAGATCAAAAGAGAGAGGTATATATAGATACATCTACACACACACACACACACACACATACATATATATAGAGAGAGACAGATAGATAGAAAGAAACCGGCATTTCTTCTTCAAGACTTTGCACAATGGTTTCTACGTAATCCTGGACAGGTGAGCCAAGTCGCGTTCATAAACTGAAGAAGGGAGAAATAAGGAGGGAGGGGGGGAAGGGAGGGAAGAAGGGGGTAAAGAAGGGGTTGAGCCGATCTTTCGATTAGACACGCCTCGCGTGTGGAAAAACGTTTGAGAAGAACCTTTCTCAAGTGGTTTACTTTTTTCTAGCCCCCCTTTGACCCCCCAACCTCACCCCAGCCGTGTCTCTCTTTCTTGGTTTGCTCTTGGATATGCACATTATACTAATCTCTATCTCCTTCTTTTTCCCAACCCATTCGATTAGATGTTTGAGCATTTAAATAACCCTTCTTTAAATGTCCTTTCGTTTAAATCTTCTTTAAAATACAATTATTAATACATTCGTGATGGGTTTATCAAACGTTTCTATCATATTTTTCTTTGGGGTGATATAATAAGATATAATATAATATAATATAAT